TAAAGCTAGAACATTTGATCCAGGGAAGGATCCCTGTCTAATTCTGGAAACTGAGGACTCCTGGGAGATTGTGAAGGAAAATCTTTGCATTCTCCCCTCCCCCCGACGGGATGCTAGGATAAACTGGCGTAGTTTAGGAGAGCAGGGAGAGGGAAGGATCGACTATTACCGTCTTTCTCGCCCCTGGTCCCTGGGGATGTTGAGTGGGGGCCTGACCCTGGGGTTCCCCTCCGGCCTGAGGAGGAGAATGAAGTCTTGGCGATCTTCAGAGCCGGCTGTTGACGTTTGTCCCCATGTCGGACACGTTCTGCTCCTCCGCCCCGCTCCCCACCTTCTGCCTTGACTTTACGAGGGAAGACATAGGAATCTTCCAGCCGGGATGGGGGGTTGGAACTGGGGCGGGGGGGGGGTGCTGGCCAGGGACAATTACACCCAGCCCCGCCAGGTACCGTGGTGCCCCTGGGGTGGAGGGCGCGCCCCCAGCGGGTAAGAGTGGCCCGGCCTCTGCAAGGTGACTTTGCCCTCCCCTCCGCCCTTACGAAGCCCAGGCTTTTCAGGGAGGTTTCTGGCGTGCTGCTCTGCATACGAGCTTCCGGCCCTGCTGACCCCCAGGGAGCCGGGGGCGGCTGGCTTGCTGCTTTGAGGAACAGGCAGCGGGGGAGACCTCGCCAAGGTTACCCCCTAACAGCCCCTCCTGTTTTGCAGGAATGACACCAAAGAGGATGTCTTTGTTCACCAGGTAAGAGCCAGGCTGCCTCCGGGTGGAGGGAGAGCCCGTCCCCTCCGGGTCCTGGAAGGCCCTGCCTAATCCTTAGCAGCACACACCCCGCTCAACGCTCAACGGCGTGCGTGCCCCCAGGAAACGGTTCCCCCCACACCTGCCCCAGGTGCCTGCGATAACCACCATTGGCCCCACTTGTGTCAGGTTGTCTTTGTGAGAAACGAACTTGTTGCCCTCTGGCCACGGTAAGCTCACTACCTACACCAGGACCTGTTGACACAAGAAGGAATCCTAGGCAGTGTTCAGAGGGAAAGGACACAGGCTAGAGAGAAGTGGGGGCGGTGGTTCTCAAAGTGTGGGCCCCACGGCAGCGGCGGCGGCGGCAGCATCACCTGGTGGCCAGATTCTCGGGCCCCACCCCAGACGGGCTCAATCAGAGGCGTGGAGGAGGGGCCCGGCCACCTGTTTTAACGAGGGCTCCAGGTGATGCTGATGCGGCCCCAGTTTGAGAACCACTGCCGTGGCGGCCGCAGCTCCCAGGTAAGAGGCGCGCTGCGTTTCTCCCACTTCGCAAGAGGCCTCAGCTGTTTTGCTTCCACTGCCAGTCTCCGGCCCCCCTTTGCGAAACCCCTGCGGGGTAAAGGGAGGAGGGAGTGCGCCCTGGGGACGGTGCTGAGGGCACAGGCTGTCGCGAGGCCTTAGTTGGCAGCTTCTCCCCACCAAGCTGGGCCTGCCTCCGCGCTGCACCCCGCGGCCCGGCGGCGAGGAAGGTGCTGAAGGCCGAGACATGGGGTGGGAGGGCCGCGGGCCCGCCGCCCTCACCCCCCCCCCCCGTGGCCTCTCCCCTCCCAGACGGCCATTAAAAGAAACAACCCCAGGAAGTTCCTGCGCAGCGTGGGAGACGGGGAGACGGTGGAGTTCGATGTCGTGGAGGGAGAGAAGGTTCGGGAGGCCGCGGGACGGGGCCCGTTAGCCTGGGCTGTGGGAACCAGGATGCGCGCGCTCTCACGCGGACCCCGTGCCCCCGGTGACCCCCGGGCTTCTCCGACCTTCACCCGGCACTTGCTGGAGTCTGTCCTCCCCCCCTCCCCCAGGGTCGGGGAGCCGCTCTTTCTCTGGGGAGGAAGGCTCGGGAACGCGGTGCGCGTGTTGCCGGAGCGCGTTCTCACTTCGCGACACCCCCGCCCCTCCCCAGGGCGCTGAAGCTGCTAACGTAACTGGGCCGGGGGGCGTGCCGGTCAAGGGCAGCCGCTACGCCCCCAACCGACGCAGGTTCCGCCGCTTCATCCCCCGGCCGCGCCCCGCCGCCCCGCCGCCCATGGTGGCCGAGGCTCCGTCGGGCGGGACAGAACCAGGCAGCGAAGGAGAGCGGGCCGAGGACTCCGGGCAGCGGCCCAGGCGGCGGCGCCCGCCCCCTTTCTTCTACCGACGGCGCTTTGTGCGAGGCCCTCGGCCCCCCAACCAGCAGCAGCCTCTAGAGGTGAGGGGGCCTGGGGACGCTGAACCCGCTGCCGCCCAGGACGGCCGCGGGGAAGTGCGGGAGGGCGGCCTTGCTCCCCAGGTTCCCCTAGGCCTTCGTGTGTTCCTAGGGCAGCGACGGGGTAGAGCCCAAAGAGACCGCCCCCTTGGAGGGGGAACCACAGCAAGGAGACGAGCGGGTCCCCCCACCCAGGTTCCGGCCTAGATACCGAAGGTAAGGGTCCCTTTCTGGGGCCATCTTCCCCTCTGCTGGGGGCCCTGGTCCCCCGGGAAGGGGAGGGGCAGGTTCTAAGATCTGGAACTGATGGGGAGGGGCTGGCTGGCTCAGTGGGGGCTGGGAGGTGCCCGGTGGGGGAGGGGGTGGCAGAGACACCCCTGGGGTTGGAAGCCTGGCTCCTAGGGTGGGTGGGGGTGGGAAGGCACAACGCTCCCCCTCTGCAGGGGCGGGGGTCGCCGTGGGAGGGAAGGAGGGAGGGAAGGAGGGAGGGATGGCCCACACTGGCTCCCTGCACCCTCCATGGCCCCCGTTTCTGTCCCCAGGCCTTTCCGCCCCAGGCCCCCCCAGCAGCCCACCACAGAAGGTGGGGATGGTGAGACCAAGCCCAGCCAAGGCCCCGCCGACGGGTCCCGGCCTGAGCCCCAGCGCCCACGAAACCGCCCCTATTTCCAGCGGCGGCGGCAGCAGCCCCCGGGACCCAGGCAGCCCGCGGCCCCGGAGGTGAGGATCTGGGCCCCTTGGGGGGGCTGGGGGGCAGGTGAGAGAAAAGGTTGGGCCAAGGTCCCCCTCCACCCCCCCCGGCCCTGCCTCCCACCTGACCCCAGAGAGCCCAGCCCGCAGGCCCCCCATTCCTCAGGACACCCCCGCCCGGCACCTGCACTGCCAAGCCCCTGCAGACCGCCCCCCCTCCCCGCTTGGAGCAGACGCTCTGGCTGTGAGATGGGGAGAAAAGGGTGTGAGAAGGCTGAATCCAGGGCTCCCTGACTGCACCCACTCTCTCTAGACCTCAGCCTCCATCAGCAGTGGGGACCCCCCCACCATACTGGAGTGACTCCCAACTCGAAGGAGACGCAGAGCTACCGTCGGGTGAGTGGGCGCCCGGCGCTGGGGCGGGGGCGCTGGCGGCCGCCCTGCTCACGACTTCTCGTTTGTCTCCCAGGTTATCTGCCAGTTTTTCCAACTGCCCTGTCCCCCCCCCCTTTCCCGTCATTCATGACATCACAACCGTGGCTTTCCCTTTTCCCTGAGACTCAGGAGGGCCAGAGCAACAGCCTTTTGCTTTCTCCCCACCCCCCCCAGCCCTGGGGGAAGGAAGGGGCCCAGCCTTCTTGTGGGCCCTGTCCCTCCCCTGGAGCAGGTTGAGAAGGGAACCAGCCCTTCCCTCCTCCCGGTTGTTCTTCTTTCCCACCCGGTTTATTTTTTGTCTCCCTTGTAGCCCCTACCTCTGAAGCCATTTTATGAACCGTCATGTGTCACCTGAGCCTCCATTAAAAACAAAAACAGGCTTTCCTGTGGTCTTGGTCTCTGCCTTTTTTCTGTGGAGAATCCGCTGCTTATGGCCCTGTTGGGGGGGGGGGGGCGGCAGGGCCAGGCCTCGAGCCCTCCCTCTCCGTGGCCCCTGTGAGAGTCCCCTTCCCATCTGTGACCTGGGGATGGTCTCCCCGGAGGAGGAGTGTTCTGGAAAGTGCTGAGGGCGGCATCTGGCACTTTGGGCTACAACTACTGACCGGTTACTGTCGATAAGGGTAATGACTATGGCTGCCCAGCTGGCTGGTGACTCTGGGTCGTGGGTTCAGGCCCCATATTGGGTGAAAAGCTTTGTTTAAAAACGTTAAAAAAAAAAAAAAAAAACAATGACTAGAAATGGAAGGTGGGGGCAGTGTGACCGCCTCCAGAGGATTCTTTGGCCTTGAGCTAAGGCAGAGTGGAGAGACGCGGGGGAGGAGGGCCGAGATCCCTGTCCCGCCCCGTGCTTGGGCGCCCCCACCACAGGACGCGGGTCGTGTACAGCGACTTTATGTCTGCGTGTCTGTCTACACATGTCACAGGCAGGGCTCCGGTTTCTTCTCCCTGCCCGTTCTCCAAACACACACAGAAACAGCGGCGGGCTCTCCCCACCCCGTGTTTACAGGCCGCCTTTCGAATCCCTCTTTCCCTTAGTTGGTCAGAAGTTTGGGTGCAACACCCCTGAGGATGGGAGAAGACACAGAGCGGGGGCCCCTCTGCCCGCCGGGGACCCGCGTCCCCCTCTGGCCCCAGAAGCTGGAGCCAGGAAGGAGGCCCTGGGGGGCCGCGTCCTCTGTCTGGCACGGGTTGAGGCAGGAGCCGCTTGGCCCAGAGTCTATGAGGCAAGAATTCAGAGGAAAGGGCCAGAGGAGGAGTCCGAGGGGGCAGGGAGCGGACCCCCCCCAGGCTGCTCTCCGCTCCCGTCTGCCCACTGAGCAGCCCCACCACCTCTCCTCCCTGCAGCTCCCCCTTCTCTGGCAAGGGGGCCCCGTCTTCTGGAACGGAGGCCGGGTGGGGGCGGGGTGGGCTCCGGAGGAAGGAGGGGACGGGAGATCAGCCCGCCCTGCCGGCCACAGCCTAACCACACCACATAAATAATCCGAGAGTCACACGAAGGGAATGAGGGGGCGCTACGACCACCCCGCCCTCCAGCTTCCCGATCCCCTCCAGGCTGCAGGGCGTCCTCCACCCTGGAGGTAACGGGGAAGAGAGGGTTAAAGTGCACAGGTGAGGAGGGGTCTCTGGGTGGGGGGGTGGGGGGGGCGAGACCTCGGCCCTCCCGCCCCTGCGGGCCCCTCAGTCGTTCTCATCGTCCGGCCCTAAGTAGTCCAGTTCCGTGCTGGGCTTCACCTCTTGCTCTAAGAGAGAGGGCGTCCGGCGGAAGTCGGCGGAGATCTGGTCAAACGTCCGGCCCCGGGTCTCGGGCACTCGTAAGAAGGTGAAGATGAAGAAGCAGAGCAGAAGAACCGCGAACAGAAGGAAGACGTAGGGACCCATAGCCTCCTGGACAGGGCGAGGGGGGGAGAGGTGTTGACGGAGGGGAGGGTGGGGGCTGGGCTACCCACACAGCAGGTGCCTCCTTAGTGGGGCGGGGGCAACGACGGGGGGCGGGAGATGAGGATTCAGGGAGGCGCGGATTCACTGTCCCCAGCCTCGCCCGAAATTTTTCACTGTCTTCACCATCGTGAGTGAGACAGCACTCCGCTCGGCAGTGGCTGGATTCCCCACCCTCCGCAGTGTGGACGGAGAGCTGTTCGCGTTCCATCCAAGTTACCCCACAGCGTGAAGGCCCTTCTATTGCGAACCCTGCAGCTCCCGGCCTTCCTTCAACCTAGGGGAGCGGGTGGTCTCCGGGGCCCACGTGGGCCCCCAAAGCGATCCCCAGACAGGACGGGGGAGAGCAAGCAGGCTGGCTGGGACGTGCCCCACCCGGGCCTACGGGGCAGGAGGCTGGGACAGGGCAGGGCACCTACCGCGATGTACTGGAAACCCATGCCGATGATGAAGTTGCACGTCCAGTTGGAGAAACTGGCCACGGCCACGGCCGCGGGGCGGGGGCCCTGGCTGAACAGCTCGGCCACGATGAACCAGGGGATGGGCCCGGGGCCGATCTCAAAGAATGCCACGAAGCCAAAGATGGCCACGATGGAGACGTAGCTCATGGCCGGGACCCGCTCCTGGGGGACGGGCAGGGAGAGGAAGGGATTCGGGTCACGTCTTTCCGGGTCTTCCTTTGCCCTCGGCACAGAGAGCTGAAACCCACGCCTCCCAGCAGCTCAGGGAGGAGCCCTGCTTAGACAGGCCTCGGGACATTTCCCGGCCATTGACATCCAGCTCACTGCCCTGTAGCCAGGCCATTCAGGGCAGAGAGAACGTTCTCCGTTCTGGGCTATTCTCAGGATGCCTCGGTGGCTCAGTCAGTGAAGCGTCGACTCTTGGTTTTGACTTAGGCCATGATCTCATGGTTTCACAGGTTCGAGCCCTCATTGGGTTCTGTACTGACAGCGTGGAAACCGCTTAGGATTCCCTCTGTCTCTCCCTCTCTCTCTGCCCCTCCCCTGCTCATGCTCTCTCTCAAAAAAAAAAAGTTGATCCTCTCTTGGTTTTAAAGCTGGAGCCTTAGGAATTCTTGTTCCTGAGACCGGACAGTGGCTCTCTCCTCCCTGGATGCCAGGGTTCTGCCTCAGCTTCCTCCCAGGGCCGGGAGAAGGGCAGCCTGGGTCCCCGGGGAACACTGACCGTGATCCCGGCACACGGTGGGCCCCAGGACCTATGTATGTTGGGCACAGAGCCCCTCGGGGCGGTCCCCAAGGCTGGCCCCTCCCCCTCCCCAGGCCTTACCAGCAGCAGCAAAGCTATAGTCATCAGGATGGCACAGCCACACATGCCCGCCAGGCCCAGGAGGTGGAGAGTCCGACGCCCCGCGCGCTCTACCAGGAACACCTGCGGGGAGAGTCAGGGCTTGGCGGGCGGCCTTCGGGGCGCGGCAGTGGGAGGGCCTGGGTGGGTGGGGGCAAGTGGGGCGCATGAAGCCGGTGGTGGGCGCCGGCAGTTACCGAGACCAAGGTGAACACCGTGTTGACCGCGCCAGCCCCTATGGTGGCGTAGGCTGGCTGCCCGACCCCCGCTGTCTCGAAGATGCTGGTCGAATAGTAGAAAACCTAGGAGCAGCGGGGAGAAGAAAGGGGGATGGCAGGGGTGTCCCTCCCTCCCTGGCTGCCACGCCACGCCTGACCCACCCCAGGCCCCGAGGTGGGGGCCGCGCCCTCCTCCCCCCCCTCTGGGGCTGGTTCCGGGCCCCCCGCCCCTCCCGGAGGCTGCGGCGCATACAGCGTTGATGCCCGAGAGCTGCTGACTCAGCTGCAGCACGACGGCGATGGCCAGGGGCTGCCGGTGGGTGCGGCTGCCCAGGAGCTCGAGCAGGGACAGCGGCCGCTCTCGCTCCAGCTTCCGCTTCTCCTCCTTCAGCTCGGCCAGCGCTCCGGACACGTCGGCCCAGCCCGTCAGGCGCTTCAGACCTGGGGGCGAGGAGGGGCGGGCCTGAGAGGGCGGGGAGGGGGCCGGGAGGGCAGGCGCGGGCGGGGGGGGGGGGCCGGGGGCTCACTCTTCCTGGCGGGCCCCTCCAGGTTCCGGCTGATGTAGAGGTAGCGGGGGCTTTCTGGGCACAGGGGCAGCAGAGCGAGCTGCAGGAGCGCGGGCAGCACCGTGAGGCCCAGCAGCAGCGGCCACAGGGTGGCGGTGCCCAGCATGGACTCCAAGCCCAGCACCTGGGGGAGAGCGCAGGCCATTCAGCCCGGAGCCCCACTCAAGCGCCCCCGCCCGCGCCTCGCCAGCCATAATGCGGGGGCCCAGGCACCTGGGCGATCAAGATGCCGATGACGATGGCCAGTTGGTTGAGCGTCCCCAAGGCACCCCGCAGGTGAGTGGGGGCGATCTCCCCCACGTACATGGGCACCAGCCCCGATGTGAGCCCTGGGCAGAAGGAGGAAGAGAGGGCTGAGGGCAGCTGGCCACTCCCACCTCCAAGCTCGGGACGGTGGGCGAGGCAGCAAGACGCCGGCCACGGCCATGGCGCCGGCGGTACCTGAGTAGGCGCCAATGAGAAACCGTCCAAGGATGAGCATCTCGTAGGAGGCGGCAGCGTTGGCCAGGCCCATGAGGGCGCCCCCCAGCACGGCCAGGACGTTGTTGACCAGCATGGCCCTCTTCCTGACGGGCACAGAGTGGGGCTGAGAGTTAGAGTGCCACGCGGTGGCCCCCGCTCCTGTCCCCACCCCCGCCCTACGGGCTCATACCTTCCCAGCCACTGAGAGACGATGCCAATGAGGAAAGAGGAGATCATGCCGCCCACAGAAAAGATGGCCACGGACAGAGCCCAGAGGGTGGTGAGGGTGCCGGGAGGGATGGAGCCGGGCCCCCCGGGCCCCTGCCTCCCCAGCCACGTCTCATTGTAGCTCTGTTCAATCACCTGCGGGGACAGTAGGAGAGTGACTGGCTGCAGGGACATCCCCCTCTTCTGTCCCCTGCTGTCCCCTGCTGTCCCCTGCGCCCCTGTTTGGACAGTGCACACTCTGCCAGCCACAGGCCCCTCACCTTCTGCGGGGCGTTGATGACCCCAATGTTATAGCCAAACTGGAGGGAGCCGAGCACCGCAGAGAAGACGGCGAGGACCAGGGTCCCAGTGACTCGCTGCTGGGGGGGTTCCCCGTCCTGAGAAGGCAGAAGCAGAGGGGAGGCATGTCCCACAGAACCTTGCTTTCTTTCCTTCCTCCAGGGGCCCGGGCCCAGCCGGAGCCCCAAGATGCTGGGTTCCATCCAACATGCTGGGTGAGGGAAGCTGGGCCATATTAGGAATAGAGCAAAGATCGCAGTGTAAACAGGAGCGGGAAGAACCCGGCAGGGACCAGGCATGAAGGAAACTGGGTCTTTGGGTCCAGCAAGCCGAAAAATGTGTGAGGACCTCGGGCCTCACCATTCCTCTGTGACCTTGGGACAGGCTTGGCCTTAAGACTTGAGCTCGAATTTGGGTGACCTTGGGTGAGTCACTTCCCCACTGGGAGCCCAGGTTTCCTCTGGGTTGGGGGTGGGGGGATAGGGGCGATGTTGCCTGCTTTGCCTACCTGTCAGCAAAAGCGAGAAAGTCAAAGTCAAATGTTAACAGTACTGCCCGCAGTGCCGGATTGATAAAGCGACAAGGGCCTTATCGTCGGCCTCTGGCCTTTATTCTCCCCCCTCTGGGCTTCTCTCAGCGGGCTCCCGGAGGCCCCCAACAGGCTCAGGGAAGACAATTCCAAAAAGGACATCGCGGTCATTGCTCCCTGCATGTGGCCTTTGGGGTGGCCTTCTCTGTCTCCGCCCAGGCCTCCCTTCCCCCTCCAGGCTCCGACCGAGGGCGGGGGGCCGTGCCCGGCTTCCGTCCGGGGAAGCAGGCCCAGGGGATGAGGGGCGGTGGCGGTGGCCGCCGCTCGGCTCGCTGGCGGTACAGACTGTCTCCGAGCCGAAACCTGAGCTGGGGGAGGGGGGGCTGCCACTCCCCTCAGCCCCTCCACCAACCGTGGGGCCGAGGGAAAGTTCAGCGTCCTGGACGGCGGCCAGGAGTGGGGGTGGGGACCCTCGGAGGGCCTCCGGTCCTCGAAAAGCTTCCCGAGAGCCGGGGACAGACGCACAGCTCCAGGAGAGCACGACTCGCCTGGATCTGCTTTCTCAGGCTGGATCGAGGGCAGGATGGCCCCGATCCCGGCGCAGCGCGCCCAGTACCGGAGGGAGCGCACCCCGGACTCGGGAAATCCAGTGGCGGCCCGTGTCCCCGAACTGTCCCCCAGACCCACTCGGCCTCTTGGAAGGACTGGAATCCGACAGTCACGGGTTGCCCGGCCGGGGTATAAATAGCCAGGCCCCCACCCCCTCCTCCACCCCCCCCCGCGCCTGCGCGGGGACCGCCCCCTAGCTGACCCCAACCGCGACCCCAGCCCGAGAAAAGCGGGCCCTGTGCCCCCGTCCCGCCCCCGCATGCTGAACCCTACTTCGGAGCCGATCTGTTGGAAACCCGACGGCATCTCGTCTCAGGAACCGGAGGCGCAGGAACAGCGGTTAACGGGGAGGCGACGGGGGGTCGGCGGCCCCGGCCTGGCGGGCAGAGGGCGCGGGGGCGACGGGCGTCCGGGGGCAACGCGTGCGGCGAGCCAGACGGGACCCACCGCCGCGAGCCAAGGATCCAGAGAGCGGCAGGGCTCCCCGAGATCTGGCGCAGCCTGGCTGCGGGGAGAGACCCGAAGAGCCCCCGCAGCCCCCACGGGCCACGCCCTTCGCAGCACCCATTGGCCAGGAGCCCGCACACCCCAGAAGGCCACGCCCCTCACTGGGCCTGGGGTTTAGAGTTTGGCACGCGGAGCGGGTGGGACCCGCGAGGCCACGCCCCCCCCGACGTGCCCGACGGGACACGCCCCGCGGGTTCCCGCCCGCCTCCCGCCGCGAAGTTTGGAGACCCGGTCCCCGGACTCGGAAGGCCCCGCCCCGCCCCGTGTGGAGGCTCCGCCCAGCGGCCGGGGTTGGGGTCCGGGAGGCGGCTGTGTCCGGCCGCGCGGGTTGGGACCGCGGGGTCCGGGAGGAGAGGATGAGGCAGGTAGGGTGGCCCGGGAGAGGAGTCGGGGGGCCCGACGCGGCGCGCGCGAGGTGCCGCGCGGGGTGGCTGGGGAGCAATGGCCCGGAGTAACCCCCCGCGGCTATTTTTAGCTCCCACGTTGGGAGATGCCAAATGTCAGGTCCCGGGTGTCCCGGCCTGTCCCGGGCGGGGGAGGGCAGGGAGATGGAGCCTTAAAGGGTCGGAGACGCGCTTCCCACGCAGGCACGGCCCGCGCGGGGGTGGGGGGGGGACAGGAAGCTCCGCTCCGAGCGGGCCGCGTGTGTGGGCCCGGTGGTCGTCCTGGGCACCCCTGCCCCTCTCCGGCCCTTCCCCTACACCCGTTTCGGCTCCTGGAGGCGGCCCGAGGGACAGCTGGTCACACCAGTCACGCCACCAGCCTGAGGTCCCTGAGCCGCCCCCGGTGTGCCGGCCGCGTGGACGGCTTGGACACGCTCTCCGGAGGCCGCCCCGGGTCTGAGCCCCCAGCCAGGAGGGCGCGACCTGGAGTTGGCGCAGCCTTCGGAACGCACCGCGCCGCCCTCGGGTCCCCGAAGCGCGGGGCTGCGGCGCCACCTGCGGGGCGAGCGGGGATGCGCAGAGGGCCCGGGCCCAGTCGTCTCTGACCCCCGGGCCTGGCCTGGCCGCCTCCGAAAGGCTTCGCCCCGGCCTCGATCTGGAGATCCGGATCCCAGAACTCGGCTACCGCCTGCGCCCGGCGGCTCGCAGATCAGGATGCCCAAACCGCTCTTCCTCCTGAGTCTTCACCCCAGTGGATGGTCCCCGTTAGCCACCCCCGTCACTCCTGGGAGAATCCCCGGGTCATGCTTGATTCCTCCTCCCTTGCCCTTTACCCCGCCCCCCGCACCCCCTCCATCTTTATCCAGTTAGTTTCAGCTTCGGTGCTTTACCTCCTAAACTCACATTCATCAGATTTTCTCCGCCTGTAGTGCTCTCGCCTTGGTCCACACCACCGCACCTGCTCCTTACTTTCCCCGACATGAGGACGGAGTTCAAGGCAAAGAGTTCAACCTCATCACTCCTGCCCCCAAACCCTCTGGTTCTTTGCTGCCCCCATGACAAACTCAAGCCCCTTTTCAGAGTGAACGAAACTTCCTGGCTTTCTCATCTTCCCTCTGCCTCACCTTCTATCCTTTCTCCTCATGTTCAGCCAGTACCTAACTCCTTGGTTGTATGTGTAGTTTTTGTTTTTTTTTTAAGTTTATTTATTTTGAGAGAGCGAGCACAAGTGGGGGAGGGACAGAGAAAGAGGCAGAGAGAGAATCCCAAGCAGAGTTTGCATTGTCAGCCCAAACCCAGTGTGGGGCTCGAACTCCGTGAGATCTTGACCTGAGCCGGAGTTGGACGCTTAACCCACTGAGCCACCCAGGCGCCCCAACACCTAACTCCTTGTACCCAGGGCACACTGTGCGATTTCTATCCCGGGTGCCTTTGTGGTACCAATTTCTCAGCCTGGAAAACCAGAGGACTCCTGTTCACCCTTCAAAAAATGCCCACCTCCTCTCTGAAACTTTTCTTGACCTTCTTCTGGGAGGGGGAAAGAAAAGAAAGAAAGAAAGCCATGTGTCCCCATCGAAGTAGATTGTCATTTCGTCCCGTCTGTGCGTCAGCCTGGAGCATAGAAGGCCGCCTTGTTTCCCTCTGTGTCCCCAGCACCCAGGCTTAGGGGCGGGCACTCGGTAAGTGCTGAATGAATGACATGAGGGTCTGGCCCTTGTGACCAAGCGCACAGGCTGGGGAGCATCACAAAAGAGGGAACGTTTGGGGGACTGGCTCCGCCTATCCGGCCACCGGAGTGGAGATGAAGAACTAAGGTCTGAACGTTGAGAAGTTCCCATCTTTTCTGAGCCGAAAGGAGCCAAGGCCACTGATGGAAGCAGGTGACGACGCAGGGATGCGGGGACAGCGGGAACCCAAGCCAGGCGCCTCGAAGAGAGCAGGGAGTAAAGGAGGCTCAGCTTGGGCACAGATGACAAGTCAGTGTAGCAGGCGAGGTCCGGGCGGGCACACGCCTGCTCCGTGCACATGCTGGGTTTCCGTGCTTCTCAGCGACCCTTCTAGACGGGAGCGAAATCAGGAGAGCTGGGAGGGAGAACGAAGATGGCCTGGAAGGTGGGCAACAGGTTGCTGATACAAGATAGGAAGGAGAGGAGAGGTGCGGGACACCTGCGGGGGGGGGGTTACGCCGGAGCCGCTTGTGCGCACGCACGCGTGCATGCATGCGTGTGTGTGTGTGTGTGTGTGTGTTTGTGTGTCTTGCTTCTTGACGGAACCAGCTGTAGCCCTTCCTAATCTCTGCCCTCTGCCATGGGGAGTTCATCCCTGCTGGCTTTTGTTTTCCAAGCGCCTGTGACCCCCACCCTCTGGTTCAGCCCTGATGGGTGAGAGATGGAGGTGGGAGGGGGGCAGGAGAAAGCCAGGATCCCGCCCCCCCCCCCCCGCCTCCTTCCCTCCCGCCACCACCTTCTGCTCCTACTTCACAGGACCATTTGGCTTCCAGTTTCTGGAAGGCAACCTTGATTCCGGAGCTCCAGCAATGCCGTCTCCCCCGGATGCTCCTTCACTGCATCTTGTCCATAGATCAGGGTCTGAGGTGCAGAGGATTGAATGAATGACACAGCTCTTGGTGCATGGTCATTGTTGATCGGTGGCTTCTTTTTATTTCATTTTCAAATGTTTAGGGGCGCCTAGGTGGCTCAGTCGATAAGCGGCCGACTGCGGCTCAGGTCACGATCTCACGGCTCGTGAGTTCGAGCCCCGCATTGGGCTCTGTGCTGACAGCTCAGAGCCTGGAGCCTGCTTCGGATTCTGTGTCTCCTTCTCTCTCTGACCCTCACCCGCTCATGCTCTGTTTCTCTCTATTTCAATAATAAAAAATAATAAAATGAATAAAAAATAAATAAAGACAAAAATAATACTCTAAAAATAAATATCTTTTTTTAAAATTTGTTTTAATGTTTTATTTATTTCTAGGTGAGAGAGAGAGAGAGACAGCGTAAGCAGGGGAGGGTCAGAGAGAGAGGGAGACACAGACTGAAACAGGCTCCAGGCTCTGAGCTGGCAGTCAGCACAGAGCCCGACGCGGGGCTCAAACCCACGAACCGCGAGATCATGACCTAAGCGAAAGTTGGACGCTTAACCGACTGAGCCACACAGGTGCCCCTATCTTTATTTTTGAGAGAGAGAGTGTGTGTGGGCATTTGAGCAGGGGAGGGGCAGAGAGAGGGGGACAGAGGATCTGAAGCAGGCAGCAGAGAACTCACGAACTGTGAGATCATGCCCTGAGCCCAAGCTGGATGCTTAACCCACTGAGCCGCCCAGGCGCCCCATATGTCTTGTTTTTATTTTAAAAACGATTCTCGGGGCGCCTGGGTGGCTCGGTTGGGCGGCTGACTTCGGCTCAGGTCATGATTTCACAATCCGTGGGTTCAAGCCCCATGTCGGGCTCTGTGCTGACAGCTCAGAGCCTGGAGCCTGGTTCAGTCTGTGTCTCCCTCTCTCTCTCTGACCCTCCCCCACTCATACTCTATCTCTCTCTGTCTCAAAAATAAAATAAATGTTTAAAAAAAATAGTTAAGATGGTAAATTTAAAAAAAATAAAAAATAAAAAAATAAAAATGATTCTCTTTTGGAGCACCTGGCTGGCTCAGTTGGTACAGCATGAGGCTCTCGATCTCGGGTTGTGAGTTCTAGCCCCACATTGGGCATAGAGCTTACTTTTTAAAAAAAGGGGGGGGGGAACCTTTTTTTATATCCACAACCCATTTCCCTTTGTCCTCCCTCAAAAGGCAACCATTCCAGTACATTTGATGCTCACTTGTGTTTCTGCTCTTGCAAAACATCAGTTGTTTTGTGTGCAGACATTTCTAATTTATGTAAATAGCATCTTGTATATTTCATTTTGCTTCTACTTACTGGCCATAAGCACTATGTTTTTGGTTTTGGTTTTTGGGTTTTTTTTTTTTTAATGTTTTATTTATTTATTTCTGAGAGAGAGAGAGACAGCGTGAGCAGAGGAGGGGCAGAGAGAGAGGGAGACACAGAATCCAAAACAGGCTCCAGGCTCTGAGCCGTCAGCACAGAGCCCGACGCAGGGGCTCGAACCCACGAACCGTGAGATCATGACCTGAGCCGAAGTCGGACGCTCAATCGACTGAACCACCCAGACGCCCATATGGTTCTTTTTTAAGCTTATTTATTTTGAGAGAGAGTGTGTGTGTGCGCACGCGCGTGCACGTGCGTGTGCATGAGCGGGGGAGGGGGAGAAAGAGAGAGAATCCAAGCAGGCTCCCTGCGGTCGGCACAGAGCCTCACTCGGGACTCGGTGGTGACCTGAGCCAAGAGGAACAGTCACATGCTTTACTGACCCAGCCACCCCGGTGCTCCTGCCTCATTCAAGCTCCGTGATTATCGAGT